CAAAAAGCATACAGCGCCCTTCGAGTTCAATATAATAACGCTTTTAGGGTGCTGATGGGGTTGCCCCGTTTTTGTAGTGCCTCGGGAATGTTTGCAGAAGCCCGCGTAGATTGCTTTTATACAGTAATGCGTAAGAGATGCACATCCCTAGTGCGGAGGGTGAGGGGTAGCAACAACAGCATCCTGAAAATGATATCTGGCCGACTGGATTGCGAAATAGTAAATAGATGTTGTCGACTGTCCGCGGGACTTGCGCCGTGATTATTGTACAATGACATTTTAGTTAAATTAAATATTATAATTAATGACATGATTTTGTGTTGTCCTGTCTGTATTTATTTTCGTATATTGTATTTTCTTGTATATTGACCTATTAAATCATATATATAATGTGTACTAACATTAGTTTTTAAGTTCAATGTTACTAACAAGAATATGGACATGGTCTGAAATAAATGATTATTATTATTATTATTATTATTATAAGACCCCAAGCTATATTAGCACCATCTGGCGAGTACAAAAAACTGTAGCCATTATCCATGAGACATAAAAAGAAAATAGTAACTTGTACTATTTATAATTATCTAAATACAATATATATATTCTAGCAATAAGTACCTAATACCATCATATTTCGTTCAATTATACAAAAGCTTCGGCCAGTTGCCGGGATAAATAGGTAAATGGGATGATCGAGAGGTGAATAGGAACAGAAAAGAAGTGAATGAAGACTATAAAGAATATACCAATATCTTTTTTTATAGGATAAGCCCGTAAACGAGCAGACGGATCACCTGATGGTAAGCAATCGGTGTCGCCAATGGAAACCTGAAACACCAGAGGCGTTACAAATGCATAGTAACGCCTCTGGGGATTCGGTGATTGGAGAGCCTGGAGAGGAGGCGTAATTAGACCTCCGGTAACTTCACTCACTCGACAAAACACAATGCAAGCGTTGTTTCACGTCGGTTTTCTGTGAGAGCATGGTATCGCTCCGGTCGAACCGGCTCATTCTTGCCGAAGCATGGCTATCCCAACACTTAGTATAATCTTACAATATTTATTAACCCTTCTTCTGTCTCTACTCACCTCTCGATTCCTATCCACCCCATTTTACAGTAGCCTAAGTATTATTCCAAACCAGATCATGATCTATTAATGCCAAATCTCATTTAGATCCGTTCAGCGATTCGCCTTTTTCAGCTCACACTTGTGGACTATTGCGCTAGCTAATCTAACATGGGTTACTGTATTTACACCAGACGGCGCTAGTGTGACCCTCTCGTTTTTCAAGGAATTGGATACTTTCCTTAATCAAAACTAAATTATCTCGACTGTGCAATACAAAAAAATATTAAAAAATAATCACACTTTCAATAATTGATTTAAGTTTATTATTTTTTCCGGCAAATTTTTAAGAAATAAGTATGCTGTTTGACGTTAAAAAAACGTGACGTCACAATACACAATCTCGTACAAAATTTTATTACGTTTTTGACAGTTCGAAACAAGTATTTTTTGACTAGTTGGCAAGTACCCAATTAGTACTCACCATTGGACGTTCAATATTTGATAAGTACAGTGATTGGACCAAAAATATCTTGCTACATTTGCGCCACCTGCAGCCGTAGCCAAATGCCGTTTAGCGCTTGTCTTCATGTAGAATAGAAAACCAAATTATATGGAATTGACGTATTCTTTGATCAGTCATCGTTTAGATCGGACGTATTGAACAATTTACTAGTACAATTAATGTTAAATAATCATTTGCAAAAATCGTGACCTAGAATAACAACTGAACATTAATACTTATCGTGTAATGTGTAAATTGACAATGCTATACGATTGAAAATTAAACACCTTGCATCATGGACAACAGCCCTTTTGCTCAGAGTAGCAGGGTTGCCCGCTCGCCACCTGGTACACCTGCACCGATAAGCGCTCCTGTCATACAGACAACACCCCGAAGTACCGATGCCCCAGAAGTCATACAAACCCCGGAACTGCAAAAATGGGTAGCTGCCATCGACCAAAACCTCACCGAGATATGCAGTCTTGTCGACGCTGGCAAGATGAACTCGGAACAAAAGTTGCGAGTAAATGCTCTATCCCGGAAGGTCATCAGTGCTTCGTCACAGATGGCAGTGCTATACCAAGGTCTAAAATGTAGAGCTTTGGTAGACCACCAACGCCTTTGTGACCTGGAGTGTCAGATTGACCTCTCTCATCAACTCCAAGACCTTAAATAGAAGATTACTGAGACCTCCAAGCCTGCCCAAGAACACTCATTTGCCGACATGGTCAAAAAAGGAGCTAATAAATTTATTCAGCCCGCAAAAGTGAGCTCTGTCGCCATATACCCTAGCGACAAATTGAAGACGAGTGAAGAAACAAAATCACTGGTTCAAAAAATTATACGCCCTGAGGAGTTAAAACTGCAGGTACGAGGCCTACATAAAACGAAAAACGGTGGTGTTATCATCAGTACCGAGTCGCAGTGCGATATTGAGAAGCCGTGGATTACAACTGGATCAGGTGCATGAAACATAGGGACAAACTGCATACTAAGGCTAAATCTAATCCAGACAATACGGATATACAAATATCTTACAAAAGATATCGAAACTTTTGCAACGATCTCCTTAAAAAGATCAAAAGTAAATTCGATAAAACTAAATTAGAAAAGGCTGGCTCAAATAGCAGACAATTATGAAAGTGCATTAAAAATATTACATACGCGTCAAAACAAAGTGACTCAGTCTCGGGCTTACTAGAGGGATATACGACACCGCGCACGGCCGCTAATGTGACTAACAACTTTTTTGCTAATGTGGGCAAAAGTCTAGCAGAAAAAATC